GAAGAAATTGAAGTCTACCAAATTTTATATTCCAAAATGGATCAAAGTTATAATCAAGGTGGATTGATAATTGTTGATTGGAATGTGAAAATTGCAAACAAAAAAAATGATTAGTAATTGGAAACTATGTGATCTTGGTGATAGAAACAAAGCTGGCGAGCAAGCACAGGATAGAATTTTGCAAAGGTATCGACGTGATTGTGACATACCTTTTCAACAACATAAACAGCAACTGTGCATGGCACACTTTGTCAGATGGAATACACGGAAGATGAATTGACTCATGTTATCAGGAAGACCAATCTCTGGAGAGGACACCATACTTGGTAAAGTAGAACGTCCATCAAAAAGAATTGATCTAAGTGGCCTGCAATAATGGGCTCAAACAAACAAACCATTGTGGTAATGGTGCAGCCCTGGGTAGCATGTTTTGTTGTACATAGTATTGCCATGAGATGGAACAGACTTGATGGTGCCTAGCAACAACAGCAACAACAAAATCAGGTATGTCATTATGAAGAAAGGAAAAGCTCATTAAAAGGCCAGGAAAGAAAAGTGAAAATAGGTGTCAGAGGGACTCTGAAACTTTATCTGAAAGGCACAGAAACTAAAGTGATTGATTGGAAGGACTCACGGTGTAAAAAGCTGAATGAAATTTAAAGGCTAGCTTCAGAATGCACAGTAGGGTATTTTAAAGTAATGTACCTGGAGTTCAAAAAGCAAAACCATCCTCATCTCAAGCTGAAAGAACTGAAGAAAAGCTCAAGCCTCGATAGATGTTGGAAGGAATATGAAGAGTCACTGTACCAAAAAGGATTCGATCAGCATTCAGCAATTTTAAGAGGTGGTAGGTGGTGTATGTGTATGCTGGATGTGCTCATTTGCCTGTGTCAAGAAATGTGTAAGACATCTACTGGGCCTTATTTGTGCCCACTCCAAAAGAAAGGTGCCTGAATAGAATGTGGACGTTTTCAAACAGTAACAGTAATACCAAAGGCAAGTAAAATTTTGCTGAAGATAATACAAAAATGATTGCAGCAGTACATTGACAGAGCTGCCAAAAATATAACCCTGTTCAGAAGAGGGTGTGGACCACGGGATATCATTGCTGATGTTGGATGGATCTTGGCTGGAAGTGTTTTATTGACTATGCAAAGGCACCCATCTGTGTCAATCATAGCAAACTATGAATCACATTGAGAAGAATGGGATTCCCAGACACATAATTTGCTCATTTGGAACCTGTATACTAGCCAAGAGGCAGTCATTTGAACAGAATAAGTGTGCGTTGTGGTTTAAAATCAGGAGAGTTGTGTGTCAGGGTTGTTTATATCCTGACTCCATACTTACTCAGTCAAGCACGTTAACTATATGAAGAAGATCTCGGCATCAGGATTGGAGGAAGGCTTATTAGCAGTTTAAAATATGCAGTGACACAACTTCCTAAAGTGAGGACTTGAAGCACTTCCTGATGAAGATGAAAGATTGCAGCCTTCAATATGAATTAGAACTCAGTTAAAGGAAATTAAAAATTTCACAAACCAAGAAGTAACATCACGATAAATGGAGACATGTTAGCAAGAATTTATTTTTATTTGGGTCTATAATCAACACCTATGAAAGTATCAATCATTAAGTCAAAAGACATGCTACCTTAGGCATGTCTGTTGCATGGGGTCTCTTTAAAGTGTTAAAGAGCAAAGTCCAATTTGAGGACTTGGGTGAGCCTGACACTAACCCTAGTATTTTCAGTCATTTTGTTTGTATGTAAAAGCTGGACAATGAGTAAGGAATACCTGAAAAATCAGTTCATTGAAGTATGGTGTTGGCAAAGAATATTGAAAGTACTGTGGACTGCCAGAAGGACAAACTAATCTATCTTGGAAGTCGTGCTGCAAGAATTCCTAGAAGTGAGCATGCGATTTGGGCAGGTTTATTAGGGAGGGAGGGCCCAGTCCTTGAAGAAGGACATCAAAAGTCAGCCTGATAAGTGAAAAACAGGAAGACAAGACCCTCAATCAGATGGGTTGAAAGTAGCTACAACAATGGGTGCAACATGGCAATTGTGAAAATTATGCAGGACAAGGCAGGGTTTTTTTTTACTTCAGATAACATCACTATGAGTCAGAATTGACTTAAGAGCATCTAGCAGTGACTGTAACAACTCTTACCCTCTTTCCTTCCATTTTTTTTGGTTTTTAGTTCCAAAGACTGTCTGGGTCTATCGTGCTTGTTTAGGGCCCCCGAGTGGTGCAAACAACTAACTTAGTTTGTAAATTTCTAAAGCTACTAACTAACTAACTAACTAACTTATAAATCGATAGTTGGAACTTAATTGTGCTATGGAAGAAATACCTGTCTTCTGTAAAGATTGCAGTGAAGAAAACTGGAACTATTCTGCTCTGTAACACATGCGATTGCTATTGTAGTTGACCATAGCAGTGGGTTTGTGTAAGTTTTTTTTTTTTTTGCGTGTGCTGATTTGTCTTTTGGATTTTCCCTCTGTCTATTCATAGTTTTTAAGAACCTTGGGATAGGCAGTGGGAACTGGAAACACAGGGAATCCAGGGAGGATGATCCCTTCATGACTGGTGTGAGTGGCAATACTGGGAGGGTAGAGGGAGAGTGGGTTGGAAAGAAGGAACCGATTACAAGGATCTATATGTGACCTCCTCCCTGGTGGACTCAACAACAGAAAAGTGGGTGAAGGGAGACGTCGGACAGGGCAAGATATGACAGAATAACAATTTATAAACTATCAAGGGCTCATGAGGGAGGGGGTAACGGGGAGGGAGGGGGAAAATGAGGACCTGATGCCGGGGCGCTTAAGTGGAGAGGAAATGTTTTGAGAATGATGAGGGCAATGAATGTACAAATGCGTTTTACACAATTGATGTATGTATGGATTGTTATGAGTAGTATGAGCCCCTAATAAAACGATTAAAAAAATTGAGATTGAGAGAAGTGAAATAACTTTCTAAGATCATATGAAGGGGGCCTCAAAAATTAGTGGAAATATTAAATTCCAAGATAATGAATGATTTCCAGCAACTTCTTGAAGTGTCTTCCATATAGCATATGTCTCATAAGTCATTAAATGATGGAGATGGAAATTAAACCCTTGTTTTTAAGTATTTTACATTGTCTCTGTATTTCTAATCTTTTGAATGTTCAGCTGAGTACTGATGTGCTTTAATAGTATTTTTATCTTTTGCAGGGATTTATCAAAGATGTTCATGAAGACTCTCTCACAGTTGTCTTTGAAAATAAGTAAGTGTTTTTTTTAAGATCTTAATTTTAAAGATATGCTTTTTTCTGGTGTTTCCCATTGCCAGTTGGAAAATTATTTTGCTTCTGTGAGGGGACTTTTGAATGTCTCGTTATTTTATGAATTCATTATGGTGTCCCTTATGTAATTTTTCTGCTAACAGTTTACTTATCACTTTTCAAAACAAACATTTTACTAAATACATGCACTCGATTGACAGTTGGTACAGAAATAGATGGCACAAATGAAGTAATATACTTAAATTAAAAACAAAAACAACCACCCAAAATGTTGATATGTTATTGTGGAAGGCCCTCAAATTCTACTGGTAGGCAAAATCGTATCATGCTTGGTTAAGTGTCGAGGAAGATCTTCAGTGAGCTGTAGCAGCACATTGGTTTTAAGCGTAGCAGGGATTGGGAGGATGGTGCAGTACCACGCAGTTTATTCTTTGGTACATAGCTAGGGTGCACTAGGAGTTGGAACCAATTCAGTGGCAACTGATGTGTCAGAATAAGAAAGTCATCTTTGAATTGCTTAGTATTAATAAGAACTGGTTTCAGTTTTATAGCTATTGTAAGGAATAGATAGTCCAAAAGTTGTGTTCTGCATGTGGGAAAGATAATATGTTGTATTAAAGGGATATGAAGGATCAACATTTAATTGAAGGTCAGGAAGAATTGTTCTGTTGATGAGTCATTTCAAGAAAAGATTTCTGCTTAACAGCTGCTTCATGCAGAAACAAGTGCTGAGATGATCTCTGAACAGATGCCATTTAGAAAGTAATGGTGAAAAGAAATCCATAAAACAAGCTCATTGCCACCGAGTCAGTTCCGACTCACAGGGACCCTATAGGACAGGGAAGAACTGCCTTTGTGAGTTTCTGTGGCTATTGATTGTGTGGCAGCACCAAGTCTCATCTTTCTCCCATGTGGTTTCTAACTGCTGATCTTGCAGTTAGCAGCCCAACGAGTAACCACTACACACACCACCAGGGGCTCCTCTTGAAGTTTCTTAGAAAGCGCTCAACATTTTGCTTTGTCAGCTGCTGCTTTGCACATAGTATTGGCAGATGAACTTTAGGGACTTTTTTTTGGGTATTGATGTACCTTCCAGGTTTATAAATGACCGAGAACTTCAAGATTACTAAAGAAATTTTAATTAACTCTTATGTATGTGTTCACTATAAAAAATAAATTTAGTGTGAGAAAATCTTTTGTAATTCAACTATTTGATATAATCTGTGATTTTTAAAATTGTTTTGTGAGCATGTATATAAGAAATTTTATAACAGTTTTGTAATCTATGAAAATATGTTCCTTTTTGACAGGTCTCATATAATTGTAAAATTTTTTGAAATAATTTGATCCTGCTGCTATTTATTTACTTGGCAGTTCTGTAGATAAAACATAATAAATCTAAGTTATTACTGTGAAAATGTATACTGTTCTATGTTTAAGATGAGTAATTAGGAAGGTTATATACAGTTATTAATAGAAGTGTCCATTATTTTATTTTTTTTTAATTCATTGTGTAAAATTGTGTAAAAATTTAAGAGTTTCACACAGTATATTCTAGCTTAACTAATTACTTGGAGAAATACATAACTGAAAGTGGCTTTCCTTTAGGAAAAGATAAACGATAAATTGAGTTGTACAGTATTCCTATAGCTTTCATATTGAGGGCTCTTAGAATAAGCTATTTTTAATTATTGTCTTTTCCAATTTTTCAGTTGGCAACCAGAACGCCAGGTTCCATTTAATGAAGTTAGATTACCACCACCACCTGATATAAAAAAAGAAATTAGTGAAGGAGATGAAGTAGAGGTAGGTATTTTAAAGGTGCTTTTTTTGTGCCATAAAAAAAAATGATAGTGATAATAAAATTGTTACATAACAATGTGAAATAATAGTATATTGCATTGTTTTGAATGGCCTAGAAATATATGTGGAAAGATTTTAAATTACAGAAAGCAAATCAAAACAAAAAATTACGACATTAAACCTGTTTGAAGTTCATTCATGGCTGACACAGTGAAATTGAAACAGACCTGAATTTGTAAAATGTGGGTGTACTGGATCGATAACTGGAAGTATGGAAGTCCTGGAATAAGAGATTCCACAGATGCATAGTGACCCATTTGAGGAACCTGATGTGGACACAAAGTGGCAGAGTGACTGTTTAAAATCAGAATATGGAGTGCAAAGTAGAATACTTTGTATTATGGGTTCTGTCTTGGAAGAAGTACATTTAGAGTGCTCCTTAGAGACAAGGATGGTGAGACTTTGTTTCACTTACTTTGGATATGTTGTTAGGAGGGAATAGTCCCTGCAGAAGGGCATCATGCTTGGCAAAGTAAAGGGCCACGCTAAACGAAGGTATACCCTCCAGGACAGTGGCTGCAACAATGGGCTTACGTAAATATAAGAACCATTGTGAGGGTGGCGCAGGACCGGCAGTATTTCATGTTGTATGGGGGTCACTGAGTGGGAACAGACGTGATAGCACCTAGCAGCATGGATTATAGCAGTGAGACTGTTGGTGGTCACTGTTACATAGTCATGAGATTTAGATAACAGTGAGAATATGTTACAATCTTCCCTCCCCACTTTGTGTTAAACATCTTCTAATCAATGCCTTCCTGTGAGGATGGATATAAGATGTTTTCAGTTTATTTCTAATTTTTTTCTTCTGGAGTTTTGGATATGAGTTGGAGCACATAAAGAATGTTCGATTTACAAATGTTCTGAAATTGAAAACTTGGAGATAGTGCTTTCTGTCCTTCTTTTTGTTGGTCCTACACATACTAAATTTGAGGGATTCTGTTGGCATAGTGGTTATGCTTCAATACTCAAGGTCAGCAGTTTGAAACCACCAGCTACTACAAAGGCAAAAGGTGGGCTTTCCTCTTCCTAAAGCATTGTAGTTTCAGAAGCTCTCAGGGACAATTCTGCTGCCCTGTCCTTTAAGGTCATTGGTGTCAGCATTGACAGTGAGTTGAGTTCATCCTCTTTTTGGTAGTGCAAGTGTACGAATTAAGAGACAGCTGTTTGCATTGGTGAGCTGCTGAGGGGTAGTGTTCCTGCGTCATCCTCTCTGTTCCTCCTCACTAACATGACAATATCAGAGTTGGAGTGATTTATAAATTAATGGTCTCCACATATTTTGGAAGCCAATTTTTATAAAGTTTGCTTCTTAAAATTTTGAGAATCATTTGAAATTAAGATGTTAATTTTTTACTTTTTCAACTCTTTAAAGATTTTACGGTACTTAACGGGGAAAAAGTGTAAGTTTAAGCTTCTCACTCATGAATTAATTTTATTTTGGGGGTCATTATTTATTAGTAAGCTCTTCATTGACCTGGAGTGTTTCGGAATTCTAGTTGTTGGTGCTTTGTTTTTTGAAGTAGATAACTTTTTGAAGCCATCTCCTTTTTAAATTAAAATCACTAGAGCTTAATAAGGAAAATTAAATGATTCAGAATTACAGAAAGTAAAAGGTGACTCTGTAGTGTAAGTGTATTTGCCCTCCCACTTACGGGTAAATCTGTTGTGTTCTCAGAGGCAGTTTTAAAATCACTACATGAATTTATATTTTTGTTTATATAGAGCAACCACTTTTTCTGTGTGGGTATTAAAAATGCTCTCTAGGATTTCTTCAGCATTTATAAAACATCTCTGTCTGTCTGTCTGTCTGTCTATCTGTCTGTCTATCTGTCTGTCTGTCTGTCTGTCTGTCTATCCATCTATCTATCTATCTAATCTATCTATCATCTAAACACTTAACTGCCATGGAGTCAATTCTGATTCAGTAGCAACCCCCTGTGGATTTCTGAGACTAATTGTATATGGAAGTAGAAAGCCTAGTTTTCATGTTGCTATGTGGATCACAACTCAGCACACAAACACTACACATGTTGCTTTTTAATATACTTAAATTGATTCTCTTCTCCAGGGTAATTCATTGCATGAAATTCTATTTTTAATACAGGTAATCTGTGATTTAGCAAAGTATTGAACTTATAACAAACCAAATAAGTCAGTGGTACTATTTGACTCAGACCTAAGAGTTAAAACAGAGCCCTGTTATAAGTTAGGGGCTACCTGTGTGTCGGTTATTTAAGTTATCAACCAGTCTTGTTTCTCTGCTATTGACAACTATTTTAGTAATACTGATATCCTTCAATTTGCATATAGCACTCTCTTCATTATGTATTGCTGCTATAACAAATAACCAACTTTTATCAATCAGCTCCGTGTACGAGGCCAGAATGCAGGACACCAGCTCTAGGGAAAGTCTTTCTGTCAGGTCTGGGGAGAGGTCCTTGTTTCTTTGCAACATCTGTGGGCCTAGTGTTCCTTGGTTATGTCTCTGTATCTCAGTATCAGTTCCCCTGGGTCTGATAGGACCTCTGGGGTTCTGAGTTCGAAAGATGGATTCAGCTCCCAGCTCTTTTTGGTGGTAATCAGGTAGTCAAGTCCCTCTGCCTCACTTCTCACTTCTTTTATCTCGTTTAGATAAAAAGTGATGCAGGAAGCACTTCCAGGGAAAATCTTCTTTCATCAGTTCAGGGCTGTGACCTGAGTGAGGGTGCTGCATCCCACCCTGATTGCCTTACAACTGATTGTACATCAGATCACATGATGTGGGATTATTATATCAGTACTAAATTATATCATCATATGACTGCTAATCTATTGAGACACATGGTCCTGCCAAATTGTCCAAGAGCAGCACTAGCATACTTTGTGAACAGATTACCTCAGTCTAACATAATGATCTTTTTGAGGGCCTTGGATATATTGTACCAAATGGTTTATTAACTTTTCTAAAGATAAATATCCTGAAGGTTGAGAAGTTGATAACTAGGTTCAGTTGTTCTGATTACTATTCTCTAATGCATCCCATTGTATTCACAGGGTGTGATCAGTTTTGTTCCAAACTCATTCTTTTGCAGCAACAAGAACCTTTACTCCAAAGTGAAATAAATGACATCAATTTAGTCATTGCTAATTAATTTAGAACAAAATGAACAAGACAGAACTTTCCATTGAGTTCTTGCATTTATTTAGATTTGACCATATGAAGCACTCTTGTGTGGGTCAGAAATTAGCATACTGGCATTTCACACTTAAAAATTTTAAATTTAAATATTATGTTTGCTTGATTGCTAGTTGTGTCTTTTCAGCCAGTCTATGAGAATTAGATGAAAGTATAGTATATTGAATTAGTGTCATAATTTGTAATGCTATAAAGAAGCCATTTGTAAATATTTGCTTTTCTGGCTAGTTTTGCTAAATAATTCTGAAAATGTGATAGGTCATAAAGTTTAATGTAATACAAAAATTAGCTGTATATATAATATATTCTATTTATAATAAAACATGAATAATAGCTATTTGTGGGGGCAGGAGAAAAATAAAAAAATATGACCACACAAAATCAAACTCACTGCGATAGAGTCACTGTTGACTCATAGTGACCCCTCTGGGTCTGCAAGACTAACTGTTTATGGGTGTAGGAAGCCGTCTTTCTTCCGTGGAGCTGCTTGGTGGTGGTTTTGAACTGCCCACCATTTGATGGCAGCCCAATGCATAACCACTGTACCACCAAAAATATGAAGGGCCTTCAAAAAGCTCATGTAAAAGGAGAATTTAAAGATAACGACTTTTTTTCATAACACTTGAAGCCTCCCCATATATGTAGATGTATATTTACATGACATGGATGTGTATACATTTATACCCATATCTATGCTAACATAAACAAACTGACTTCTCAAGCTGATAGGTTATTTTATAAGCCTTTGTTGTTGTTTTTTCATGACTTTTTGGCATACTTGAGTATAAACAGCCCCAAATAACAGCCAAGGCACCTAATTTTACCACAAAAACTGCATTAAAAATGTGCTTATACATGAGTATATATGGTATTTTAAATTTCAAAGGTTTTTGAACGGTGAAATACCTTACTTAGTGTCACTAGTGAAGAAAATTGGCAAGTTAATGTTCTTGTGACATAGACTGTTAAGGATTAAATTGTACCCCTGAAACACATGTTTCAGCTTGGCTGGGCCACGATTCTTATTTAGTATTATGTAATTATCCTCTAATATGTAATCTGATACAGTTATCCTCTGTTATGAATTCTCGCTTCTACGATGTTATCAGAAATCCGTATTTGTTCCCATTCCAAAGAAAGGAGATGCAAACGAGAGCAGAAATTACTGAACAATATAATTGATATCACACACAAGTAAAATTTTGAAGACAGTTAAAATAAAAAGATTGCAGCAGTACATCATGCCAGAAAATTAAGTCAGATTCAGAAGAGGATATGCCATGAATGATATCATTGGTGATATCACTTGACTCTTGGTTGAAAGTAGAAATTACCAGAAACATGTATGTCTGTTTTATTGCATCTGCAAAAGCATTGCCCTCTGTGGATCATAATAAATTTTGAATGACATTGCGGAGAATGGGAATTTCAGAATATTTAATTATCCTCTAACAGAACCCTATACAAAGATCAAGAAGAAGTCATTTGAACAAAACAAGGGGACACTGAGTGGCTTAAAATCAAGAAAGGTATGCATTAGTTTGTATCCTTTCACCAAATGTATTCAATCTGTTTGTTGAGCAATTCCCAGAAGCAAGACTGAAAAGAGCTTGGCATCTGGATTGGAGGAAGACTGGTCAAAAACGTGGGATATGTCGGTGACATATCCTCTCTTGCTGAAAGGGAAGAGGACTTGAAGTATTTACTAATGACCATCAAAGACAACAGTTTTCACAAAGGATTAAAACAAAGAACCCTGTTAGTGTAGTGGGTTATATGTTGGGCTGTTAACTGTGAGTCTAGCAGTTCTAAATCACCAGCTGCTCTTGGGGGGGGAAAGAGGAAGCTTCCTACGCTGTTAAGTAGAGTCTTGGAAACTCACATGGGCAGTTCTACCCTGTTCTAGAGCATTGGCATGAGTCAGAATTGAGTAAAGAAAACAAATAACTGGACCACCAAAGCCATGTCATGATAAATGGAGAAAAGATGATGTTTGTCAAGAATTTCGTTGTACTTGGATTCACAGTCGTTGCTCTTGGAAGCAGGTGTCAGGAAATCAGATGGCATATTGCATTAGGCAAATCTGTAGAGAAGATCTCTGGAAAGTGTAAAAAACCCAAAGAGGTCACTTTGAAGAATAAAGCACACTCGATTCAAGCCACGGTATTTTCTGTTGCTGTATATGTATGTGAAGCTGGATAATGAATAATGAAGACAAGAATAATTGATGCATGAGAATTGTAATATTAGCAAAATTTTTCTTGAATGTGGTTGTAATGATCGTGCGTGATAATTTTTGTGTCCTGTTTGGTCACTTAACTTTGGAATGAGCACAAATACTGGTCTCTTTTTTTCAGTATTTCTGATTTCTTGACATAGACTAATTTGATTGATATGCTTCAGTTCTTGGGGCCTTGTTTTTTGCCAATGGCTTCAGTTCAACTTGAACTTCTTCCTTCAGTGCCATCAGTTCTACATACTATATCTTGAAATGATTGGATGTTGACTCCTTTTTCAGAGTGATTCGATATTGTTTACATCTTTTTATACTTGTCAGTCAGCATTTTCCCCATGGAATTCTTTAATATTGCAATTCAGTGCTTGAATTTTTGCTTCAATTCTTTCACCTTGAGAAATGTTGGGTTTATGACTTCAGGTCCTTGCCTATCTTGTCAAATTAGGCTTTGTCTTCTAGAGACACCTTTAAAATCTCATCTTTGACGTCATCATTTTCCCCTTCACATTTGAAATATAATTGGCCCACCTTGCAGTAGCCCATCAACATGCATGCCAGCACAGTACACCAAACTGACAAATGAGTGGTGGGTGAAATGCTTGGATCCATCTTTTCAGTCAAAGACACTTGAAGTGTACACGTGTAATATCTGGCCCAAACCATGATACAGTACTCCAGTCTGATTAGCTTGAAGTGCTTGGGATGAATACTGTCATTCTAGTTCTTTGGATTTTCTTTGTTTTGGCTCTTAATCTACTAGGAAAAATAGGCATTGCCATTTACCACTTGGGTCCAATAGACCATTTTTATTGTTCTTAGTGGGTTTTTTTGTCATTTAATAGGCAATTTCAAGACAGACAAAAGGATAATGCTATAAAATGTAGACATTGTAATAAAAATGGAAATAAGGCAAATCCACCCTTTCCTTTTTATGTTGCTGTTTTGAGGATATGAATTCACAGTGGGTAAATTCTTCTAATAAGTTCTAGCTTATTCTATTTCATTTTAGTTTGTATCATTAGAATGTACTGTTTGAAGAATATTTTGGACTTTTGGTAGTCTTAATATGAAGATAAGCCCCCAAATTGTTTGTAACTAATTGGATTTGACTAATCTATTGGAAACACCACCCCCCCCAGATTTTTTTTTGTCTACTTACAAACTAGAGGAAATAAAATTTGATGCAGAAACATAATAAAAGATACTGTCATGTGTTGTTTTAGAGAAATGGGGTGATCCAGATTTGTTGACCCAGAATTTTGCTTGACAATAGATCTCATTTGTTCATTGAATAATTGAGAATACTGTATTTTTACTTTTAAAAAAATTCACTATTCATAACTTTTGAGTTAGGATATTATTATCTGGGTATTACATAATCTAATATTCTTCCCTTATATACTTGCGTATCAGCCAAGTTTTTCCAGCACATATTTTAATGCAGTTTTGTGGTAAAATTAGGTGCCGTGGCTGATATTCGGGTTGGCTTATACTTGAGTATATATGGTATTTGCTCTTTATCAGTGGTTTTCAATCTTCTAATGCCATGACCCTTTAATACAATTCCTCATGTGGTGGTGACCCCCCCCCCCAACCATAAAATTATTTTCTGTGCTACTTCACAACTATAATTTTGCTACTGTTATGAATCGTGTGACCCCTGTGAAAGGGTTGTTCTACCCCAATAGGGGTCGAGACCCACAGGTTGAGAACCACTGCTCTGTATCATTAGAGTGCTATAGTCCCTCTCTGCATTTTTCTTCTTCTAGCAATCATGAAAGACCTTTTGAAAATACTGTCTGTCTAATGAGTGATGAAATGTAAAAAATTCTGATACCTCAGCCATATCCTGCAACCACAAATATAGCTGGAAACAATTGATAAGAATATTGGAGAGATAGGGAAATGTTTTTAAGATATATGAAAAATAAGATCTCTAAAGATCTTCAGAATAGTTCTTTCTGCTCTTAAGGAAAAGTAAAAAGCCAAAATAGAATCCATAGGCCCTTGATGAGATGTATCATCCCTCATCCTCCTAAGTCCCTTTTTTTCTCACAGTTTTTTAAATTATATGGTTTATTCATATGCAGTTCTAAATCCATCTTGAATGCCTATCTAAAATTTTTATATTTATTTCATTGGCATATTTTAAAATCCTTTGGTAGATTTTCTGAACTCTTTTGCTAGCACAGTCTTAGGTCTTAAAATCAGTGTTTGTGAGGTACTTTTTAGCTCTTTTTGAGACTTCTCTACTCCTATTTTTCATGTATTGCATTTATATGAAACATGCTACTGTATCATAACAGCTCTAATATTTAATGAAAACTTAAAATCTCTCGTGTTAAGAACATTGATTATATCATTTTTGTTGTTCAACTAAAATTTTAGTGCACTTGATTTTAAGTTCCTTAACAAAAAGATTTAAATGTCATATATTTGGAGAAATTTCAAAATTGGGTTATCACTTTCTAGAAAATACTCTTAATTTTGGTAAATAGTGTTGACAAAACCAGAAAAGACCCTGGCCTTTTACTATGTGTGTAAAACAACCTCCGATAAACATTTATTTAAAGTATGATTGCCTTTGTTTGCTAACTGCCATGAATTTGGAATAATGAAAGAATTCTTTAAGTTTCCAGGAAGCCAGATTACTAAAAAAAGGGCTCCACATTATTCTGAATTGTGGTATTTAATTGTACATAACATTTTCATTAAATTTGTGGTCAGTACATCCCATTTCAGTATGGCAATATTTTTGCCATCCTTAAATTTAGTGGGGTTTCTCTCTTGTGACTAATGCTGATTTACATAATTGTCTTTGAGATTAATGGAATTTTTTCCTCTTAAAGGTTTATTCAAGAGCAAATGACCAAGAACCATGTGGATGGTGGTTGGCTAAAGTTAGAATGATGAAAGGAGAAGTAAGTGATGTTAACTTGGCTTTGTAGCGTGTTTCCAGGGAATCATTTCAACTATTGGTTTCTGTAAATATTAATTTAACTCTGAGTTTTGTTTCAAAAGCCTCCTTCTGGAACACTTCAAAAATTCATTAGGCCATTACTTTTCTGTTCTGTTTTCAAACACTGAAGCTGTTCTCTGGAGACTTACTTCCAGCATGTGAGGACCACCAAGGTTCACGTCCTGTAAAAACCTGTAATCAGTTTAGACAAATCATATTGTTATAACTAAGCTCTGCTTTTTAATTTATGCCACAGGGGGAGGGTCTGCTGGTTAAGATGAATAAGGTAATTAGAACTTCATTTGAGGAGCATTACTTATGTTCCCATGGGATTTTTAAAGTATTTTGGTGTCTTTTAGTTTTATGTCATTGAGTATGCTGCTTGTGATGCCACTTACAATGAAATAGTCACATTTGAACGACTTCGACCTGTCAATCAAAATAAAACTGTCAAAAAAAATACCTTCTTTAAATGCACAGTGGATGTACCTGAGGATTTGAGAGCGGCGTGAGTAATTTTGTTTACTGGATTGTTTTACAAATTAAAGATACATTTTTTTTTCTGTGCTACAGAATCTCCCTGCTCCCTGC